ATAGTCCTGACTGACGTTTCGACAACCTTAGCGGTAGTCATCTTCAGAGTCAAATGAGGAGTAAACGTCAGGTTAGCCGTATTTGTTATCTGGTTCTTACGTCATTGTATTGTGTGTACAGGAAAAGTGTGGTTGTCAATTGTGTATTGTCATTGTGGATTAGTGTGAAGTGTTATGTTTTTAGTTGCTCGTTTGTTTGTATTGTGAATAAGTAGTTGTGTTTATAGTGAGTTTATTATGTTAACTCTAGCTGGGATATGTTTTAATACTTAAGTAATAGACGACAAAGTTCAAGAACATCCCCCCCCCCACCCCCTCAATAAACATTTCATCTTACGCCATCAACATGGGCATCAACACAAGGTTGTTCCACATTTCCCCCAAGACGAAGAGAGATTGTTTTCCATCCCAAGATATTCACTTCGATCACAGAGTCGAATTTTTGCACCAAATCTGGAGTGAATGCAACCTAGGATGTAAAAAAGTTGATTCTTCTTTCGTCAAAGCCAACAAAAATCATTGATAATAACATCATTTGATGCCGGTAACAAATGACGTTATTATCAATGATAATAAAATGAGAAAGAAACCAGAGCTGTGTTTTGAAATATCATCATAGTCCACAGTTGATCTGGTAGTTCAGTTGGTAGAAAATTGAGGACAATGATTATCTTGTTACTATACCTGATTACATCACAAAAACGTGATGTTATGATCTATGATATCAAGTTATGAAAGAAACTAGAACTATATTTTGAAACAACGTCATAGTCCACAGTTGGACTTGTACTTTAGTTGATAGAACATTGAAGAAAACGATTATCTTGTTTATATACCTAAGTACATCTAAATATAGCAGGATTGGTAAAACAAAGACGAAAGGTTATAAAACTGGATTTTATTTTTACCTCAATTTCAGCAGTACCACCAACGGGCACCACACCTTGTTCGGGTGATACAATCATACCGGCCAGCGGTTGGGTATTATGGACCTACGAAAGATAAGCAATAAGAAATATTAGACACTCATATATTTAAGACAAAATAAACAAAAACATTGATGAGCATTAGAAGAAATCACTCACAGGTTATTTAAAAAGTCCAAAAGAAAAATGATTTGATGAAATCACGAATAAATACAAATTCAGGATTAAGAAAGGATGACGAATTTGGCAAGGATTAAAGATCAAGCAAGGATGAAAGACTAAGCAAGGATTGAGGATTAAACAAGAACAACAGATAAAGCAAGGATTAAGGATTAATGACATATCAAACGAGGATATTTAGTATTTCAAGTCACAATATCGTACGTAGAAGAAAATTTTAATTAAGTGTGAGATTATTTCACCTTAAAATAAGCATGATGATTGCCTGTGTTTTTCAAATGACATTTTCTAACGGTTGTTAAATGAAGAGGAACAAAGCCGAACACAAATCGTCGCTCAACA